GGGGTATAGCTAGGGATGTAGGAGGTGTAGGGCGTGGATGAACAGAGCTAGTAAAGGGCATGCAGTAATAACGAAAAAGGCAAATCAGATGGATCAGAGAAGCTTTTAGGCACTGTGTGTTGTTTCACCTACAGAGAGACTACGTACTGACCCCACGCACCCGGCCACAGTATACATTCAGACGTCGTCCTTGCTAGCTAGCTGCTGCCACTGCTGTGCTGCTGGGACGACGGGAGATAGATAATGACAAATTCGGATAGTGATACTTCACAGATTCGAATTTAAGAGAATCTTTTACTTCCGCCCTCTATTCGCATTGTAAGGGTTGCATGCTCTCTGTGTTAGCTCGTGATACCGCTGGAACCTATCATAAATATAATCATTCTTTTTTAAATGGTTAGATATCGGCGGTAGGGGATGATCCCCAAAACTAGCTAGTCGTTATCATCCCGTTTCGAAACGAGGCGGAATAATACCACAACGATGCTTTAGCGGGCCTTGCCAAAAAGTTAAACATGCATTCCTCAAATAATATTAAAACAAAAACATAACTTTGCACCAAAAAAGTATAACTTTGTTATAAAAAATAAAGTAATGGCTTTGATCGAATTCAAAACGACCATAAACGTAAATAATACTCCGTAATACATAGTAAATGATAACAAATCCAAATTGTAAAAATCAGATGTATTTTTATAATTCATACTCCCTCCGTTCCACAAAACTCGTCCTCTTTCGTTTTTTTTTGCTTTCTACAAAACACTTCCACTTTCTATTAAAAAACCACTTTTACTCCTACTTTTTCATACCCTACCTATCACATCATACTTTTTCACTAATAACCAAACTATCACATCTTACTTTTTCCCATAACATCAGGGGTAAAATTGGAAAGTCAACAAAAATTACACTTTCCTTATTTTTCCCTAAAGTCAAAACCAGAAGGGTTTTGTGGAACAGAGGGAGTACAATAAGAGACTATTAATGACTCTAAAAATATATAATGTTCATAGTACTAATAAATATTTCAACAACAATAATAATGAAATAATATTTAAAAAATACAATATGAAATACTTCATATATAAATATATCACAAGATAAAGTAGACAGGTAAGTACTTGACGTGCTTTGAACGTTTCAGTCTGTGATAATGAGTTTTATATTTTTGTATCATGATCCTGCCTGGTTTGTTATTGGTTTGGTTTTATTCGGGATGAAAAAAAAATCAATCCCGTCTAAAAACACTATAAACAGTTCGGTACGATTCGGTTCAGTAGGTTACCATGTTGGTTCGATTTTTTGATTCACCCCTATTGCTTTGAATACTTTACGTTGGTGGCGTTGTACCGTTGGCAAGGCAAGACTACTAATAGGATAACACCCCATGTTGGTGTTAATTATTTTCACCGATTCTATCATTTTTACTGTCTCAAAATGATAAACGATCCTAACAATCACCAAAAATACGAACAAGCTATCTTTGACGTGGAAACCCAAATCGGGAGAAAACTATGAGCCTTTTCAGTGGTACCATGCCAACGAGAAAATTTCATCAATGTCGGGGGTAGTATATAGTACATAATCCTTGCATTGTAGCTATATATTGATAGATCACTCTAGCTTTATGAAAGAATTAATAATACAATGAGTATTTTCTAAGGAAAAGAGAATGTATACTAGTATGATTGTGATATTGGCCCGCCCACCTTGAAGGTCGAGAGTTATACTTATAATGAGAGATGGGGGAGTAGTTATGGAGACGAAGAAAATGGTGGAGGTATTTTAGGAGGAGTATATGGTGCAACTAGTTATAGTAGGAAATTAATGGTGGAGGTAATTTGTGTGGAGTAATTGGTGATCATAATTATAGTAATATTATTTGAGAAATTTGGACCAGGATGCTCGGGCCAGATAATATTTCCCATCACCCAAGTTCAACTCGCTTGTTGGCAACTACGTGAGAAAATAATTATGCTAAACATAGGGTTTTTGTAAGTACTAAGTGCTGTTTCTACCCTTTACTACATCAAAAGTTTGTATTTAATACTAACCACGTTATAGTGTATTCTTTCAATTTAATTTTTAGTCAAATTAGAAAAACATTATAACTCAAATAAATAAGATTAGTAATGTACATTAACATAAAAATAATTTTATTAGATTTACCTTGTAAAAAACTTTTAGAATTTTATTTGTTCATTGTAAATGATACGGAGTATTTATTTCATAATATTTGATCTTATTATATAAAATACTTTCAAAATATTATTTTGTCTGATTAATGAACAATATACTCCCTCCGTCCACAAATAAACTTCACGTTCACTATTCACAGGATCAAACTTTATTCACTTTGTTGGCCTATTTTCGTCACTCATTTGATTAAATAATATAGTCATGTCACGTCTAATTTTGTAGATCTTTTGATATAGTTTTTTAATATGTAAATTTTATTTTTAAATTTTACACCATTTTTCATATAAAATGATTTGAAAATAACTTCAGTCAAACATCGTAACGCGCAACGGGAAGTTTATTTGTGGACGGAGGGAGTATATTTTATTTAACTATAGATCAAAAGTTGAAAACGGTTGAAAAATTAAAACAGGACAAATACTCCAGGACAGAGGTAATACAAATTACATGTTTCAAAATTACATTAAATTTTTACAAAATAAGAGTTGATAATGATATTTGTTTATGAAATACAGAGTAATCAATGAAAATAAAAAATGTTATCTAGAGGCAAAATAGTAATATACTGATTAATTGAAATGATATTTTTGGGAATTGGGACGAAGAGTCTAGTATTTTGAGCTTGTATTTTAGAGAGTTTAAACTCTTACTACCTTCGTCCTAGTGTATTTGTCTAGTTTGACTTTTTTGAGTCAAAGTGGACACATTTTGAACTTCAATTACTCTTAATTTAAATTGCATATTAGCATAATGAAATACAATTTTGAAAGTTCTCAGAACGATAAATCCAATAAAGTCATTTTTATGTTAAAATACATACATTATGATTTTTATTTAATTGAATCTCAAAGTTTATCCAGTTTGACTCGAAAAAGTCAAACTGGACAAATACACTGGGACGGAGGGAGTAACTTTCAGTTTCTTACATGTTTTTTCTAGTACCTTTTTATTTTTTCCAATTTTTTCTAGTTTTTTCAGTTAATTCCAATTTCTTCCATGTCTTTCAGTTTCTTCTAGTTTTTCCAGTTCTTTCTAGTTTCTTCCAATTTTTCCAATATCGTTCAATTTTCCTAACTATTATCGTTTTCTTCAATCTCTTTTTACTCCCAAAAAATTGACTTTAAAATAATATAATTTGCATGTATTATTATCATCATTATACCTATAGTTTATAATTATTTCAATGTTTATATTTTTATTCTTCCCATGTTAATATTTTGTGATTCGCAGTCATTATCAGTTTTTCTTCCATTTTTAATATAAGTAATAAGGAGTATAATTTTATTGGGAAAATAGTTTTTTTTAATTTACATGACACTAAACTATGTTTCAATAATTATGGAAATTTTACTATTCTAATTTAATCTAGGAAAACATCAATATTGTATATTAAAAAAATAAGGATTATGCTACTCTCTTTGTTCCTAATTAAATGACATATACAATACTATTGATGTGGTCGAATTTGGTGAGTAATAAACTCCTTCCACACTGGAAAAATGGTAGAAAAGAGACTAGTATATATATGGTTACCTAACTCCATTAGTATGAGACCTTTTTTGAAGTGCCTAAAAATAAATCCGTGAGGGCTTAGCCCAAAGCGAACAATATTATACTAATGCGAGATTGGAGTAAGGTACGCACGGTCTCTGTAGTGGGGCTAGACCTCGGGCGTAAATGGGGGCGTCATGCCCCGGCACGGCGTGATAGAGGCATGACGATGGACGAGCGTTGCCCCTCTCTTTTTTATTTTATTTTATTTTTAACCTTCAACCAAACAAAATTTAACACACTTTCACATCATCCAAATAAAATAATTCACACTTTCGCACTTCATCATTACCCCTTCGCAACCACCATACCACACTACACATGTTTTACACCCATAATATTTGGCGAATTCTTCTGTGGACTTAAGTTCATGCTCATTTAGTACACCTTAGTGTATTTAGAGCATAAAAGAAGTGAACCTTTGGAAAAAAAGAAAGAAAATATCCACCTGTTAACCCATGAAAAATATGTGAGAAGGTCTATATTTAAAATGTGAATTTTGGAGTCAAGTAAGCATTATTACTCATAATATATACACATCATCAATTCCCGTCAAGCCCCCCACTGCACGTAACCTTGTTTTAGAATAAACTAAAAAAAACTAAAAAAAAATTGTAAAACATTTTCAGGAGACAAAGAACTCCGGTTCCCTCCGTGATATCCGTTTTTTTTTTATGGATTTAGTTTCCACAATCAAATTTACAAAATTCATACTCTATAGTCTATATATATATATATATATATATATATATATATATATATATATATATATATATATATATATATATATATATATATATATATATATATATATATATATCATTGTAGTACATTACATTATATTGTTTCTCCAAACCCAAAAGACTCTTCTTCTTCTATATCTCCACCCTACTTCTTAATTGCTTGATAACTCCACGTACCATCTGGGTTCACCTCCAACGTAACCAAAAACACCAAAACACAGATTTTAGTCTTTTAGTTTTCTGAATGTAATTAGTTCCACAGATTTAATTAATTGCACTACAAACCAAAACACGCATCCTAATTACTTGATCACCTTCAATTCTTGTTATTTAATTAAAACCATATGAGATTTTTTATTTTATTTTTTTCAACTTTTAGTGGACTAAAGTGCAAGCAGAAACCAACAATGAGGAACCATAACGTACAATCACTATCAGAATCAACAAGCAGATTCAGTATCAATTTGAAATTTAAAACTCAAAATGAAAACACAAGCAAATTCAAGATAATAACCAGTTAATTAATTACTTATTCCAAGCAAACACATAAATAATAATTGTACGGAGGAGTAATAAAATTAAGAATTGAAATTATATATAGGAGTAATTAATATTCTTTAATTACTGACCCCTTTTTTTTTTAAGATTATTATGGCATGGAAGTATAGTTATTATTATTATTCATGGGAGACGATAATGGCGGCCAAGCTTCAAACTCACTCCTATTTTCGCCGCTTCCGTTTATAACGTCGGTGTCGTCAAAGAGCCATTCCGTTCCTGTGCTCCCGCCGGATTGTTTGCCGGCGGCGGCAAAACCGGCAGAGGTTTCGGCCGCTTCCGGCGGCCGCGGGACTTTCGGGATCTCCTGAAATGATTGCTTTTCTTTCCGTCCGCCGAAGAACATGGCGGCGGCCAATCTTTGCTGCTGGAGTTTCCAGTGAAGCTCTTGGTTTATCGTGCTCAACGACTCGATTGAGGATGCTAGATTCGCACTTGTGCCCATTTCTTGAAACCCCACTCCGGCGCCGGCGGGGTTCTCTGCTTGGGGTTTTAGCACGCAGGGGAAGGCGAAGTTGAAGCCGAGGAGAGGTGGAGTTCCGGCAGCCGGGTCGACGATGTTGAAACACGGGCTCGGCGACGACGGGATGACCATCGGCGAAGAGAGGTGACCGAAAAGGCCGACGCCGGCGGTGGCCGGGGAGTTTCCGTTTAAAGCCGGCGGAGGCGGCGGAGTGTTCAGCCCGGCGAGCTGGAAGTCCATGGCGGGGGAAGACAGGCCGCTGAGGAGCTTGAACCCGCCGATATCCAATGACGAGGACTCGCCGGAAAACCTCGCCGACGACGAAGGCCTCATCATTTTCTTGTTCTTCCGGCAAACCCCTCCGATGGGGACGCTCCGGAGAGCGCCCCCTCTGGTCCAGTACCTTCTGCAAGTCTTGCAGAAGTGTCTGGGCTGAGAAAGGCTGTAATTGTTGAAGTAGCAAAACTTGGTGTTGGGGGAATCGCATCTGGGGCACTTGAGTGCGGCGGCGGCGGCCGCCCCATCCTGCTGCGGCCTGGTGGTCGCCGCTCTGCGGCCGCCGCCGCCGGAGGTCTGATCTTTACCATGATCTCCCTTTTGTGAGGCCATATGAATGACAATACTCTCTAGCTAACAATAATAAAAGAAAAGGTGAAGAAAAAAAATAAATGGAGAGGTGATGGAAAGGTTGTAAAGGTTCCCTTTAGGAGAGGGAAAAGGTGGTTTCATGCATGGGTTCTTGTGATCTTCATCAAGAAAGGAAAGGAAAGGGTGTTCCAATTCAGCTGAGAAACTAACTAATTTAAGAAAAACTAAAAAAGATATATGGGGTAGATCTGATTCATAGGGCAGAATAAATAAATAAAGTTTGCATATGATGTGATGAGAGAGAGAGAGACAGATCAGATCTTACTATCTACAAGAAGAAGGTTTAGCAAGGCAATGTATTTTCTCATGAGGAGAGAGAGAGAAAGGAGAGAGAGAGAGAGAGGGGTAATAAAGGAAAGAGTGATATGATGACATCTTATGTTATGCATCCAAACAAGGGGGGGTTACACTATCCTCGTGCTGGATATGATTCAAAATGGAGATCACGATGGTGAAAACAAAACCTTGCATAACGGTTGGGCGGGTCGGATTTGGATTCCGTATTATCAAAAGAGAAATTTACATAAATAGGACTAAAACATAATGACTTTCCCAATATAGGACCATATATTTTTATTTCCCAATGTAGGACCTTTGGTCATTATTAAGTAGTCATTATTAAAGTAAATGTCCATCATTACTGGACATTAATCCTCCCACTAGGTCATTATTAAGTCCTATTTAGAGAATAAAAAAGTTTAAGTCCTACATTAAGAAAGTCATTATGTTTTAGTCCTATTTAGTGCAAATTTCACTTATCAAAATCGGGTTGATGAATGTTTGTTCATGTCCCAGATATAACGAGTTCGAATCCATCCAACGAGTTTAAGCACCTATTTTCAAAGTTAAAAAATAAGCCTTCCCCAAACCCAAAGAAGGTAATCAAAAAGTGAAATTTACACTAAATAGAACTAAAATATAAGTCATTTTCAATATAAGACTTAAACTTTGTATTACCTAGATACTATTTAATAATGTTTAGTGGGAAGAATAATGTCCAGTAATAGTGGACATTTACTTAAATAATAACTGATGAATAATGACCAATGGTCCTATATTAGAAAATAAAAACATATGATCCTATATTGAGAAAATCATTACATTTAATTTTAGTCCTATTTAAGTAAATTCCCCAATCAAAAATAGAAAAAAATTTAGGCCTAGCAAAAATTTGTTAACATCATCATGTCTCGAAAAAACAATTCAAGCACACTATGATAAAAATAGGACATTGAACCTTGGTGAAAATAAAATACTCCTTCCGTCCCAAAAAGTTTTTCACGTTTCAAAAAGATCGTGTCCCAAAAAGTCCTATCTATTTCTATTAAAAATCCACTTTTATCTCTTACCTTTTTCATACCTACCTATCACATCACACCTTTTTCTTAATAACACACACATTACATCCTACTTTTACCTATCACATATTCTACCACTTTAGTCAATATGTTCATATCTTTCTGACACGGAGCGAGTATAACATAAGAGTTTAGACAAACAAATTTATTCAAACAAAATAGGTACTTTTTGATATATGCAAATTTATATAGAGCACTATTCAAAATATAAATTTGAAATCTAGTTTTTTTAATACCATAATAAAAAGATACTCCATACAAAAAAACCAAGAACATAATACTCGACTAAAAAGGCTTAAACACATTGGGTCAAACTCGACTCAAGTGGAAATTTTAATGGGTCTTTAGGTTTGAATCATAGAATTTCGATTAAATTCTCTAAATAGTCCTTTATAAATGAAAAGTTTCCATATCTAGTTCACATTTATTAAATATTAAATAAACAGTCCTTATTAATTGGGTACCATTGCACGTTTACTCCATCTTTTTTTTCATCTCTGTGCCATTAGACAAGGACCAAACGTAGAATGATACTCAATCAATAAAGACCATGAAAATAATATTTGATAATATGGACTAAATATGGAAATTTCTCATTATAAAGAACTTTTTGGATAATTTGTTCTTTTTAAACCACTTTTAATATAAAAATTAATAGATAGGAAAATGTATAATTGTAGTTTATTTATAAAAAATCAAAATTTGTACACCACAAAAAATATATTATCAAAAAATTTAATTTTTAATACGAGAATCTATTCGAAACTGATAGTGATGGGTATATTCCACCCAGAACCGGTCAAGGAATGCACTCAAATATCCAATCGGTTAAGGTTGATTTTTCAGAATGGGAGGCCTAAAACAAAAGAAAAAATTTGCTGGGGGGACCAAAGGATTGACCGGTACACTTCGGAAAGTCTACCTGTCAAACTTCTTTATTCCCTCATACGTCTCTAATTTCAGTAAACTCATACCTAAGAAATCACCCGGTATGATTTCAAGGATTGAGAAGTGTCGACAAAGAAGAATCCAAAGGAGCTTGGACTGTAGCGACCATGTTCCACGGAGAATCGTCGGAGATACTTGTACAATCCATCCAAAGCACTACGTGACAAGGAAGCCAATTCCTCACTAGGCGACAAGACCGCTAAAGGATGGAGGCAGTCACCTCGCACCACCCAGGATTGTGCCCTAACGTGGATGCGCGGAGCCATGTCTCCTCTGGCTCACTATAAATACTTGTGTAACCCTCAAAGGAAGGGGGCCAATTTCTTCTCTCTAAAACTCCCGTGTAAAAACTCCCGTGCATTCTACTATATTCGTAATATTAATTGGGCTACAGGTGTTCCACCTACAGTCCTCCCAGATACTTTGTGTGTTTTACCTTCTTACTTTCTCGAATCTAATAAACAATTCTAGACTCGGTCTAGCATTGTTTACCCGATTAGGTAATTTACACCGTCAGATAGGAATTAAAAAGATATTCGAAGTTATTATCCCTTTTTAATAACGTAAGAGCTTCAAATTTTTATCTCCAAAATAAGAGTATAATGCTAATAATGTCAATATATAATATCACTATATAATTTCATTATGTTACAGTACAAACTCGTATATTGAGAAAAAACATGAAATTCTTATCTTGAAGATATATGTTATATTTACTCCTATTTTGGATGATTTCAAATTACTTATTAATTCCTATATCTTCCAAGATAATTCTCATATTAAAAAATGAATTTTTTGGTAAATTATTTTTAATGATAATTTTGACTTTTTATATACAAACTACAATCATATACTTTTGAGTTTTTTTTGTCAAAATCGGCAATTTTGACCACGAATTAAATAAAATTAATATTAGATATTTATACAAAAATAATTTTATTGGATTTATGTAAAAAATTTTATTTAATTAAAGGTCAAATGTTGAAAATGGTTGAATGCAAAAAGTCAAAATTGGACAAAATACTCAAAGACGGAAGTAATACTTTCAATATTTAAAATGGTTTTAAAAAAAGTGAACTCTCCAAATAGTCCTTTATAACGGGAGAATTTCCATATTTAGTCCATATTATCAAATATTATTTTTATGGTCCTTATTGATTGGGTATTTGGGTATCATTCCACGTTTGGTCCTTGTTTAACGGCATGGAAATAGAAAAATAGACGGAGGACTAAACAATGAAATGATAACCAATTAATAAGGATTATCAATATAATATTTGCTCAATGTAGACTAAATATGGAAACCCCCATTTATAAAGGACTATTTAAAGAATTTACTCTAGAATTTATATTCAAAACTTAGGGGGTGTATTCAATTAGGAGTTTTTAGGATTTTTTAAGACTTTCAAAATCAGAAGGTATTTAATATGAATTTTTAAAAATCTTTTAAAATTTTGAGGTATTTAATGTATATTTTTTTAAGTCTTTAAAAATCATGAGGTATTCAATAAAGATTTTAAAAACTCCAAAAAAATCTCTAAGTATTCAATAACCATGGCTTTTAAAACTCTATGGACTTTGTTGGATTCTTTTCCAAAATTTGCCTATCTAAAATCCCTTCTTACAAGGCCAGATTTCTAATTTTCTACTGCAAAAATCTTGAAGAGTTTCGCCACTTTTACGAGATATCAATTGATTTTGGATTTGTGCGATCTTATAGGATTGCACCATAAATTCGGAAGAGTCCGCCACTACTTATATGGGGTTGCAATTCACATGGTTGGAATTCCATCTTCTGCGCCATTGTTCATCTTCATTCCCAGGTGTATTTGTTCCTTTTATTTCCTTTACAACTTTGTTATGGTGTTGTCAGATTTGGAGAAGGATAGCTTTTTAATGGGGTTGTTCTTCATATTTGGAAGATGAGAGGACGAAGGGTAGGAGCATTATGCAGAAGAGTTCCGCTGGGGTCTGAAGATTCTAAACAAATTGGAATTCATGAAAATCTTTTAAAATCTTTCTAATAAAATACATTAAAATCTACCTAATTCTGCATAGACTTAAAACAATATATTGATTTTACAAAATTCATAAATTTTAAATAATCTATTATAATCTATTTATAAGTTTTTACGGATTGATAATTATTGTGGATTGTGCGAACAATGTGAAAAAACCCTTGATCATTTATTCAGTTCATGTGGCTATGATGTGAGGATATTGGGAGATATATCCACAAATCTCAGGTTTATTTCCATTTTGTTTTACAATTGAGGTTGTAAACAATTTCGATTATATATAGATTATCTTTTTATCCTCGGATACACGATTATTATTGTTTGATGATATGAATAAAAATATAGTATTATGTGTAAATTATTTAACATTTTCTTCAAAGTTTAAACATTCTTGGAATTAGGGGTTTTTCCCCAAAATTTTGTCATTTTATTTTAAAAACTTAATTATATGCTTGGAACTTCTAGTGAATGAATATTATGCTTATTAATTGCTTCATAGCATATTTTGGATATTGTAAATGTTATAAGGATTATGTACGTATTATGTATGTTGTTGAATATTGTAGTTGTTGTATGCTTTATATATATTTGTATTTTGTTTAAGATATTTTCTGACATGTCCGGTCTAACTTCCTTTTTTAAATTTAGAAACATGCCACTTGGGACCCTCGCATTGATGATAGGGTTATGTTCCGTGCTTGGCGATCGAAGGCTAGAAGACGATACACTGACTGGCTCTCATTTATTAGGAATGAGAAGAAAGGAACAGAGAAGGTGCAACAACTTGTACCGCAATCGTGGAAGGAGCTATTTCTAAATTTTCTTTTGAATTGATGACTTATGTTATACTCCCCATCAAATCGTGTGTATATATTTCTATTCTTGTATTTATATGTTGTTAAACAGTCTTGGAAGTCTCCAAAGTTCTTGGCATCCTCGAAGCAAAACAAGAAAAATCATCGTGGCGGTGATGAGAATGCCCCTGCTAGCGCCACGCACACCGGTGGTCCATTGTCTTTTCGCGAGACTCGAGCGCGCCTTGTAAGTATTATTAGTAACAAAAATTACATTTAAATGTTCTAAGTGACGTGTTTTCACTTATATATATATATATATATATATATATATATATATATATATATATATATATATATATATATTAGGGTAAAAGTGGACAGGCTTTTGACTTGTACTCTTCGTACCCACCCACACACGAAGAAACATGATGGGAAGACCTACGTCAATAAGAAGGCAGAAGAAGTATCAGTAAGTGACAATGAATATATATATTGTATATATAAATGATTACTTTTCGTTGAATTCAATTGAATGTGAATTGATACTGCTCATTTTATTTGGCTTTTTATGTTACAAAGTATATATACATGTATGTTTTGTGTATTGCAGCAAAACTACGTAGCCATGCAGGAGGCTGTTCGTGAGGAAGGCTTAAATGAGACACCTGACGGGATTTTTCTATCTACAGTCGGAGGACATGATGCCAAGAATCGTGTTCATGGTGTTGGAGATATTGCACGGAGCCTACCACGAACGCATGCAAGTGAGGCAAGACGTGCTAGCACTAGCTCTATGTGGGACCCTCGAGATGATGAGATCAGGAGGTTGAAAGAAGAGCTAGATGAAATTAGAGCTTCCCAAACGCGTGAATTATTGTCGATTAGAGAAGAGATGACCCGACTTTATGGAGGAGTTTTCCCACGTGGAAATGGAGATGGCGGAGGAGATGGAGAGGGGTCGGGGTTTGCAGGGGCTTGTTGAGTGTTTTATTAGAATTGAAGAACAATTTATTAAACTTAAGTGTTATGGTTATATAAGTGGAGTTAGATTTCTTTGTTATGACAAATTTTATAAATATTATTTGAATTTTAGTTGTTGCTTGGTGATTTGAGTATTTTTGGTTGTTTGGTACTCTTCATTTTTAGTATTTGATGGTTGTTTGATGCTGTATTGTGATTTAGAGCAGGTGGTTGATGTTGTTGTTGTGTGAAATTGTAAAAATTGCAGGTTTATGTGCAGTTGCTGTCAAAAGGGCGATGGAAACGCAATTCCATTGCTATATGGTAAGATTGCTAAAACCGTCGCTACTTTTTTGGTGATGGAAATATTCTGTCGCTAAAACCGTCGCCAATGTCCGTTGTTACTTAGCGACGGATTGTAAAAACCGTCGTTAAGGTTAATACTAACAAAAAAGTAGCGACGGAATAGAAACCGTCGTTAATTCCGTTGCTATACGGATTACATACGGAAATAAAGCTTTGGCGATGGAATTTTTCCGTCGCTATTTAAGCAGTTTTTTTTGTAGTGGTAGCTAGTTGCATAGATTATATTAAATTCCAATTTTGCTCTTATGTTTGTATTCAAAGTGGAATAGTAGTGTCGTGTAGTATGTATTGGTGATGTAGAGGTATATCATGCACACTGTTTCGTTAATGAAATTGTACTTTGTTCAAAAAAAAAAAATTAATTTGTTTAAAGGTTGTCAGTGCATCTTCATCCTATGTGTCATTCTTTTTCATCATCGTACGTACCAATCCTTTCTTCATCTTAAACCCTTAAGCGCGAGAACATATATAGGCTTCATCCCTCTCTAGCCTCCAAGGATAATAGGATTTTGAACATTGTGGGCATTGTTCTTTTCCTTCAAGGTACACGAACATTTAACACTGTGAATATTATTCATCCCGAGACCCGGGTTAGATCCAAAGAAAACATTGTGGTGATTAAAATGCATCGAAGAAGCAATACATCAACTACTTTGTTTCACACCCTAGCTACAATAGTTTGTGTAACTTTCTTGTTCTTGATTATTCCAATATTTGTAATGTTAGTGTATAATAAAAACTCATTCAAAGTTTGTAAAAACTCATACGAAGTAAGAGTTATGAGGCGGATTGAAATTTTGAAATGAGTTTCTCCATGTTTGCCCTCACATCTATTTCCAAATATTTGAAAGTGAGAGGCCCAATTAGAGTCTCAAATAGGAGTTCAAAAATTTTTGTGGCATAGCCGCATAGGTACGTGTGTGTAAAATTTATTCTATATTTATATTTATGATGTAACATAATAATTTTCAAATATATATATTGCATCAAAATTAGGTGCACCAAAATGTTTTGAAAATGCGTCATGTCGAAATGCACAAAAATCCTTTAAAAATGCACTATCTCAGAATCTGAGCACAAGATGCAATCAGAGTCGAACGATGCATCAGATCCATAGGCTAGATTTTATTCTTATTTCTTTTCACCAATGTGCATTCTCACGTGAACCGGCCCCGATATAAATATATATAAATAAATATATATATATATGTGTGTGTGTGTTTACTAATTTATTCATGGGTGTCCCGGAGGGTGTGCAAAGTAGCCAACCGCACAAGGACTTTAAAATTTTAGGGACCCGTATTTTTAAGTGTATATTATTCTAATTATTTGTTATGTTTAAATTTAATATAAGTTTGTGTTTTAATATTCAAATTATTATAAAAATAATTACTAAAAATCAATTTCGACATTAATTTTGAAGCATAAGTATTTTGAAAAAATAAAATAGGAACCAAGATGTGAATTTTAGACTGGGCCAATTTCACTTTTTTATTTTTCAGGGCCGGCCCTGAATTTATTTATTGTAACTTTAAACATTTACGTAAGAGTACAAACTTGTACGAAACAAGAGATAATTATAAACTTCAGAGTAGTTAACAATGTAATTTGTACTCCCTCCGCCCCGGATAATTTTTCCAGTTTTGACTTTTGGGAGGAAAAGATATATAAATTTGACCAAGATGAAACAACGATAATTGAAATGAGTTGGACTCGAAAAATGTCAAAATGGATAGAGCATAGAAGGTAGTTGGGGTAGGTTTGATTAGATTTAAAAAAGTAAAGGTAATTGTGTCTATGTAGACGAAATTAAAATATTTTATGGGACATGTAAAAGGTAAAAGTTGAAATATTTCAAGGGTAAAAGGAGTAAGATATTATTGTAGGGGAGGAGTTGTAGGCGGATACATCGGCAGCGAAAAATGAGTTTCATTGGTAGCCACTTGCCAGCCAAGAAAAACTCTCCACCCCCATTCACCTCTCTCCACCACATTGACATGTTTTTCTTGATTTTTTTTAATGTTGATCATTTATCTTAATTATTTTTTAATTTCCAACAGAAGGAAAAGGTATTAACGTTTTTCTTTTCCTTTTTTGGATTTTTGTTTTCAAAAACAAAAAAAAATCATGTTTTCATGATTCATAATGGTTATATATAAGATTAGGATCCCCCTTAATTACATTATGGTACTTGAGGCAATTCAGAAAAATCGAGGCTGTTATATATTGGATGTTTAATGATGGGGAAGAACTTGCAAAAACAGTCTGGGCTCTCTCTGAATACTAATCATCAACCAAAATGTATGTGGGGAATAATGCACCACCTTCACCACAATAGATGGATCACTGCCAAGAAAAGGCTTCCATATAGAAAGCGTGGAGGTTCAAAACACAATGCTGGTGAGTAAATTTATTCCAATTCTACCCCTCCCACAAAAAGATTTATTTTTCCAAAAAAAAAAAGAAGAGAAAAGAATAGAGAACTGAAAATTACAATAAAGGGAAGATTTATTTTTTTTAATGTTATAATCAGTATGTGAAACTTTTTTTTGCAGTGGGTGAAGAAGATCTTCTTGAGAGTAAAGCAACTACCAGTGGCAATGGTGAAATGTTTGAAATGGCAGATGAGAAAATGGAAAACTCCAATGTAAGTTTGCTGCTGCTGCTGCTAAATTGGTGGTAATATATAATTGTTTTTTTTGTTGGTTCCAAAATGCTAATTGTACACCACTTCTTACATGTACTACATTATCATTTTTGAAATATTTGTGTGGGTCACAACAGACAATTCTTGACTTTATGTGCATATCTTTATAAAAGATGTTTAGAAAAAAGATGCAGAGTTAAAGCATTTGTGTGCGCTTGTGTGTGTGATTTTCAGATTGAAGCGAAAACCGCAGAGAGCAGTTCTACATCTAAGTCTATGAAGTCTCGATTGAGAGCGTTGATTACAGAAGAAGTGTCAAAAAGAAGAGGAAGGGCGCGACACCGTCGAAGTTCATCGTGTCCCACACGGGGCCCTCCTATCAAGCAAAGTAATCCCATGATTCTTCCTCCTCACCCTCCCTTAGACGTCAATGCTTTGCCTCAAACTAGTGCGAGCGAAGAGACATCGGAACATGACAAGAATGTGTCTATTTCTAGCTTGTTGGATCCACCGCTTCCGAAGATATCTAGACATGGTCATGTCCCTCCGAACATTACTTGTGATTCGTGTGTTGCCATATTGCAAAAGATGAATGACCTTAAGCAAATTGAGGTTGGTATTCATGGACAGACCGGCACTGCTTCACTACAAGAATCAAAGCTATTTCTAAAGGCTCTAGATTTGCTTAACATGAGAAAGGAGGTATTCTTGAAAATATTGCAGGACCCATGTTCATCATTGTCGCATCGATTACACGACAGGCGAACAACTAAATTGCGACAGGGATTAGGCAAATCTCTGACATTCCCTTCACATGGCTCATTGTTGGGAGAGGAAGACTGCAGGTTTCAAGCTGCAACTGAATGCGATGCTGTTGAGAAGAGGAATTTGTGTACAGATCCTAAGCTTTTGGACAATGTCTCGAGACTTTCACCAAATGAGCAAAAGAGCAGGCACGGGAGTGGGCATTGTTTGAAGCATTTCAAGAACCTAAGGGACAAGTTGAAATTTGTAATAAAGGAGAGCAGAAAGGAGAGACAAAGGATTGTCATGGATGCAGTGATTGACAAGATCCCTCGCGGTCGTAGGATGCCCAAGCAAGTCGAACAAGGTTCAATCCAATTTCACTCCTCGTTTCTTGGAAGGACTGAGACGCAGTGCCCGAATAAAGCATCACCCCCCAATTTCCATGAATCGGCTGAGCGATATAACCAACTGTTGGAGTCCTGTTGTAGGACGTCAGGACCGCCTTCACCTTCCACGAGGAGCCCTAAAGTCTTGGAAAGGATCCTCTCATTACCTGATTTAAGGTATTGTTACTCCACCTTACGAAACGACGATTCCCAACATGACACTTTAAGAAGATATGGTGAGGGTAACCAGATGCACATTCCCTTAGGTTCCGAATCTCGTGCTCTATCTGAGGCTAATTCAGATGAAAACCAGCATGACAGCTTCCAAGATGCCAACCATATTGAGACCATTACTTGTTGTGATGCAAGCCATAGTTCTCTGCCAGACATGAATTTGCATGACACATGGGCACATGGTCAACTATTTGCAGGCCAACCAACTGAGGCCAAAACACAAACATCTACTGAAGTAGAGAAAAAAGGATCTCCGGTGAAAGAAATGGAGAATATCCTAATGCACCTTCACGTGGACGACAAAAACAAGGCACAGTTTGACTATGTAAAAGACATACTAGAGATGTCCGGATTTAGCAGAATCGAGTTTCTTGAGAGCTGGCATTCTGCAGAGCTGCCCTTGAGTCCTTCAGTCTTCAAGTTAGTGGAAGGGTGCTTACTTGAACAACCTGGTTGTGGTGAAAATGAGGCAGGGGACAACTGTGACCATCTTCTTCTGTTCGACTTAATCAATGACGTCTTGCTAGAAATGTATGAAAGATCACATTCCTACTGGCCAAAGTCTCTGACATGCCATTCGCATATCAGTAGGACGCCATTGGGATATCACGTTCTTGAGGAAGTTTGGGCAAATGTGAATTGGTTATTGAGTTGGAGCCATGATCTCGATGACCAATCACTTGATGATGTTGTTTGTCGCGACTTGGCAAAAGGTAACAATTGGATGAACTTGCAGTTTGATGGAGAGTGTATAGGTCTTGAGCTGGAAGAATTGATATTAGATGATCTTTTAGATGAACTCATTTTTGATGACCTTCTGTTTTGATCACACATATGTGAATGCAAATCTTATTTTCGTTTTCCTGATATTCTCTCAAGATTTAAAAACTACATTTTTAATTTTACATCACAAAAGCTCAAACAAACATCCAAAATTTCTCAATAGTTGTTATAACAGCAACAACAGCAAAGCCAAACTTCCCCTCAAGCTTTTGTCTGTTTTTTTTACTTTCCTATCATAATCCTATACTAGACAAATGTTAAGATTAAAATTATAATCATATACCACTCACATTAATCTGTTTGACAATGCAACATATCGATTGAAAATCAACACATTAACCACTAAATAATCTATCCGATTATGTATATGTATGCTCCTGAAAATTGGCAACAGACCCTAATCAACTAAAAGTCGAGGGGCCCTGTTTGGGAACTCCCAGAACAACTACCTAATGAACCATACGAAGTCCCGCTTGAACCGTCGACCGGGGCTTGATTTAGACACTCTAAAACTAAAGATCGTCTCTTGTGGAGTTTAATCGAGAATGTGGTTGCCTCGAGAATCAAAGGAACCTGTTGGCAAGCTATGGATTAGTTGAAATCAGAAAGAATCATAGTACTAATACTTTAGTGTACTTCAAAGAGCAATCCTTTCATATGGAACAGTTTTTTTATGCCAAAGGTCGGTAGCAGTTTTTACAATGAAGCCTTTTGAGCGCTCTTNCCCCGCCCCCCCACACACACACTCCCTTGGAAAACCTACTCTACCCCACCTCTCCTACACGGGTGTCATTTTTTGACACCCAAGGCCGGTGTCGAAAAAATTAGACCCTATTAGAACATCAATAATATAGAAAACATGAAGAGGTAGTTCATAGGACGAAAACCTGTGTATTAGTACGTGCCACTTTGTGTATATTGAGAAGGCCAAGCATGTCCTTATAACCTGTGAGAAGCTTTGCCAACTCCTTGTCCTCGTCTGATCCAAGCATTAGTTAGGGGTCATATATTTACCCAGCAATATATAAACAACAACAAAAACACCAGTAAAATCTCGACTCCTTTTACCCCCGTAAAAAAACATCGAGGTTGTTTCCGTTAGACCTAGACACATCGCCAAATTTACTGCCAAATTTCATTGAAAGTAAAAAGCTAGAGAAGTTAAAAGTGTTATTTTGATTTAGTCCATTATTTACCAAAAGGTAAAACATTATCACAAATGACTCTTTAAGCTCCATTGCCAATGGATGCTTATTGCTTACACAGCAATATATAATATTAAATTTATTATATGAATGCAAAATGCAAGAACCTCACACACCTGGAATTGGTCGAACGGATATCAACGTGTCAGCTAGATGCTGCAATCTCTTCGAGAAGGTCGGAGAAATAAGAGATGAAGGGACAGTTATGATGGCAACCGTTTTTGAGGACCTTATCATGCATTTCAAAGACCTAATGAAGGAAAGTATATCCCATTCCTGCATTGAAATATAAGCAGTGGGTCAGAAGCTAATGGCTCCCCACATTCTTTATATTATTATAAGTGCATCTTTGGTCAAACTGAAAGTATTGCAGCTTTGAACAAAAACTGCACTTGTAAAAAAACAATAAGTAAATAATTGAATTTGAGAATGGTCATTGTCACTAACATTGTTGGAAAACTCACACTGAGGAGCACATAGTGACTGGATGGCAATTCTACCCGGGTAGGTCATGTTACCATCACATCTGGGAACAAAGAAGAGTATAAAAAAAATTGATAACAAATGTAAAACCACTTACTATCCTATGCAGAAAAAATAAAATGACCTATTTTTTCACATACTATAACTATCTAAGCACATGCAACACCTTATTCACTGGCACATACCAGTTAGCAATTCTCCATTAACCCGTCAACGAAACCTAAACAAGTATGCAGAAGTGGATTTAGAAATAACACATTTTAATACCTTGGGAATTGTGCTAAAAAATTTGAGCAACACTGACGCAGAGGGTCTAGATTGGGAAAATCATGTATACTAATGCAGTCAACGCGTTGTCCAGCAAGGAGATGCCTCTCCAATGGCTTTCGCAGGTCAAAGTCATTGCAATACTCAGCTTTTCCACCTGGAAGACACAATAGACCAGCTTCTCTTCATATGCAACTACAATGTGTTTGTCTGTTGGTAGTTTGATTCCAACATAGAAATGATACAATAAGATAAAGCTCAGAAAACATGCACTTCTAGTTGAGGAGATTGGAAAAAAATAGCAAGTGCAAATCAGTAGAGACCATGAAAGCACAGCATAAATTTATATTCTTAAATGGCACTCAGAGTTGGTAAAAACTACTCGTGCAAAATACAAATTTAATACAAGCCTTAGTATTTAAGAGAAGTTATTTTGCCAGCAAATTTGAATAACATTTGCATCATACTACTTCAAAATATGAAGAATTAAATAATGCTGCTTTTTAAAGAACAGCTGCTCAATCTTATTTTTGTTTCTGGAAAGTGAACTGCTGCCATGAAAATAACTCGGAGAGGAAAAGGTTTCTCATGGTAAAAAGGAAAATTCATATAGATAATATATATATATATATATATATATATATATATATATATATAGAGAGAGAGAGAGAGAGAGAGAGAGAGAGAGAGAGAGAGCAAGCAAGAGCAGTTGTTGTTGAAGTAGTTGACCTTGCTGACTTTCTGAATCTTGTTCCCCGATATACTTTTTATATTGCCAAGCGATCCTTAAACCCTTGTCCTGAAATTTCCAAGGTGTATATAAATATTTGATGAAATTTATACAAAGAAAACATTTATGTGAGTACATCTAGTGTAAATAAGAAGAGGTAGGTTACCTGCTCTGGGTCCCTCTCTCGGAATTTTTCATCCTTGGAAGACATTGGACATGGCAAAGTACCAAGAAAAACACGGGGAGCCCTTTCAGGGCTGGCATAAAGCAATGGCTGTTTGTGAACAATACCTTGAGACATGAAATTTCTCAACAAAAGCATATGATGAGGAGCCTCAGGATCCTCCATCACCAGGACCAGGCTACCTAAAGAGAACCCGCCTCCCAAAATCTCTAAAGTAACCATAAAACACAAAAGCATGTGATCAGTTTAAAGCTAAAGTGGTACTCTTTTAGATGAATACAGAGTACAGAAAATCTATTAAACTTGTAGACCCCATAAGTTGTAGCTCAAGCTTTCTACTATCAATGTTTAGCAACTTTGAATTGGTAAAATAAAGAAAAATGTTGGAATGGAATTACTGTCAAGATCACATATGCCAGATGAAAGAAACATTGCTCCATTGTGACCATGCTTAACTCCAGGAATATGTGCTGCAGGAGCAGAAATGTTACGAGAAAAAATGTTTGTCCGAGGTCTGTTTGCAGCCATAATGGTGTTGGAGTACCTGCACGACACAAGAAAAACCAGATAATTTAAGTCTACTTCAAAGGGTCCCAATCTTTGAGGGAGATGATATAGTAACAATTGGCAATGACCCAAACTATATTAAAATTTGTTTTTACCATTTACCCATGTACTATATGAACTTATACAGCAATACACTTCTATAATAATTTCATGCTTGAAAAAAAAAGGTCACATGTGAAGTATAAAGTTACTCTTTAGAAATCCTACTTTTACAAGTAATTTACAGTACACAAGCTGTTTAAAATTAATTAGTCAAAGAAATGACCCCCTCAAAGAAAAACTGGCAAAAGAAATGAAAATAACTAATTTAAGTAAAAAAACTATTTGAATTCATTAATCAAATAGATTCTAAGATTAGTATAATTTAACCTCCATTAAAATCAAGTAATCAAGAATATAAAGGTATTCAATCTAATTAAATAAACCATTTACTAACGGTGAACCACACTAACTAAAATAACAGTTCTAATTCAATAAGTTTTTGGCAATCAAAACAATGAATCTACTTGCACTACATTGAACAGGCTTAAAAACAATTTGAATGCTATTGTTAAAGAACCAACTCAATTGCAAGCTTTTGATTCTAGGTCCTTTTTTATAATCTAACACGCTCGCAAAATTTAATTTTGCTCGATTTGAAACTGGGTGAGTAATGCTCTGATACCCTAAGAAACGGAGTCAGCCACAAGTTGGGCCTAAAATTCAATGAAATAATCTGTAATTATCAAAAAAAATTGAATCAATATTGAAATAATCTGAATTAAATAGATGCAATAATCTAAAATTTGAAAATTTATAAATTTGAAGGTCTAAAATTTAATGAAATAAACTGACAAAAATACAAATGAGCAATAATGAGAGATTAAATGAAATTTATTCATGATTTTCAAAATCAATATGAAATTACTAACCGAGGAATTGAAGAATAGAGATGGGTAGTTTCTGAGGACGACGACACGCCGGACAAACTGATGGACGTCGGACGACTGAAGGCCGGACCGGACAAAGATGGTCTCCAGGCGCTCTAATTTCTTAGAGTGGCTTTTCTTTATAAAAAAAACGAACTCGTTTTAACTAGGGCTTTTGAAAAGAAAAAAAACCTCGTTTTTTAGAGGGATTGGGTTAGAAACACCAAAGTTGTGCCCCAAATTAGGGGTGAGCAAGTAACGAACTAATACCGAAAATTTCTAAAAAAAACTGAGAATATCGAACCGAAAAAGTATCGAGAAGGAACTAAACAGTACCAAACTGAATGGTCGGTACGGTATTTGGGAACGGTACGAGGTGATGTCTCATACCGAAAATCCCGAACCGAACATATATACTAAAATATTATGAAAAATAATACCCCGGAGTAATATTTTTATATTCCTTCACTAAATAATAATTTTTTAAAAATTTTTTGTTCATGTTTTATTATATGTGTAAATTATACTTTTATTTGAGTTTTAGTTTTTTGTGTATGAATATAAAAGTATTCACAAAGATTCGAAATACTCTTTTATTGTCATTCATTTTTTTAGTTTGTGAAATATAATTATAAACTAAGTTTTGGTATGCATCTCTTGAATTTTAATATTCATTTTTGTTAATTTTTCATGTTTTTATATTTAAAATCACTTTTTAATTTTCAAAAATAAAGGGGCATTGTTAAATTTTAATGTGTAAAATAGGCATGTATATTCATCCCGAATTGTACCGAAACCGATACCCAACCATCCCGAACCATATCGAACCGATATTTCGGGATCGGGATCGGTACGAAGTAAAATCCCATACCGAACCTAAATATTTGGTACGGAACTTGTACGAGCTAAATACCGTACCATACCATACCATGCTCACCCCTACCCCAAATATCTCCACCCCTCCATAATCACAAAAATTTATATGTAAAATTTAAAAACAATAAATAAATAAAAACCAAATAAAAATGATTGGTAAGAGACCTGCAGCTACACCTTTGATGTACCCCTAACATTTCTAAAAAAACTCATTTTTCTTTAGATAATTTTCATTTTTTATAACTTCTTGCAATTTTTTCTAATCTCCTCCAGTTTTTTCTAATTATTTCTAGTTTCATTAAAATCCTTTTAAATCTTTCAACGAATTAAAAAAGTATTTAAATATAATGAATATGCAATAAGAGTAGTGGATATACGCATCACGCCCGAGGCTTCAAAAGGCGTTTAACGTCGTTACCCGCCCCTTCTGACATTATTGTGGCGTTATGGGATTTGCGTTAAACATTTGACGCAAAAGAGTGGTAGAGAAAGCAGCGCCCTCCACCAACCATCTACTTGTCTAAAAAAGTAATTGTTGGCTACATTAAAAAAAATCTTTCTTCCATTTTCAACTATAAATACCCTCTAAATATGTAAGCCAACTGCAAGCGACATTGAGCAGTTACAGGTGAAGCATGTCGCTAAACACAGTTTTGCAGGCATGCTTGGGAGCATGGATTGCACACATTGGGAATTTAAGAACTGCCCCGCTGCATGGCATGGTCAATATTTACGTGGTGATCATCTCAAACCTACTATTATGCTCGAAGCAGCGACTTCAAATAACCTATGGTTTTGACATATTTTTTTGGTGTTTCCAGCTTGAACAATGACATAAATGTTCTTGACTAATCACCCATATTTGACGATTTTGTTAATAAGACTGCATCCGACTCGTCTTTTGAGCTTAAATGGACACTTTACAAGTGTGGATATTATCTTGTCGATAAAATATATCCAAATTATTCCACAATTGCCAAATCGCTCTCGGAACCAATCGGTCTTAAACGGCAAACATACAAAAAAGTTCACAAAGTGACAAGAAAATATATCAAATGAGCCTTTGGGTGTTGAAGGAAAAGTAACACATTATAGATTATTCGTCTAGTAAGTGTTATTCTCAAACAAAAGTGAGAAACATTATGTGCACATTTATTAATCCTCATACTATGATTATACAGGACAACGGGTTTACAAAGTGTCATTACAACTCGATGACGAGGCACCCACCTACAAAGAAATTTACAAAAAAAATGAAAAAATCACCGAGAAATTCGATGCAAGAGATTCATGACGCACTAACGGCGGATTTGATTGAACATCGTTCACATAATCATTAATTTTTTGTAACTTCTTTTATGTGTTTTATTTAAATTCTATGTAACCTTTATTTATATTTCTTTTAAAAATAATGTAATTTTTACTTATGTTGTTATTAGTGAAATCTTTTTAATTTTAATTTTTAGAATATATAAAAAATCAGAAAATAAAGGTTTAAAGTCACAGTGTGAAGCCTGGTATTTCCAGTGAATCTATGGTTTAAGTGAAAGGGGTTAAAGTTAATATGGCAGAATGGTAAGGTTTAAAGCTCTGATTTAAAGCCAATATTTCAAATGCTATAACATTGTACTCCCCTGTCCCAACTTAAATCTCCTATTTCGATTTACGATGTTTGGCTAAAGTTTTTTTCAAAACAATTTATTTCAAAATATGAGCGAAATTAAAAAATAAAATTTACATTTCAAAAAACTACATCAAAAGCTCTACAAAATAAGAGATGACATGACATTATTATTTTATCGTGTGAGTAATTAAATAAAGTGAATGAAATTTTACCATATGAATAGCAAACAGACAATTTCATTTGGAATGAAGAGAGTATATCTAAGTTTATAATATGTCACTTCAAACACAGACAAAGATGATTTTTTAATCCAAATTTAGTTTTCTTAAATATTAATTTGGGTAATTATTTAATTGAATTACTTTTTTAACATTTTGTTTTTTTCTAGCATTTTTTAATTTTTTTCAATTTTTTCAAACTTCATTCAGTTTTTTCTAATCTTTCAAGTTCATTAAAACTTAATCTATTTTTTTCCAACATCCAACTTTAGAAGATTCGTTGTATAAAAATTGTTGTAAGATTCTCTCCTCTCAAATAGATTTTAATTATATATATGAACATTTTCCACTAAATGAAAATAAAAAACTTATACTACCTCCTTCCATGAGCATACTTTTTGGAGTCAACTATTTTTAACTTTTGACCTATAATTAAATAAAATATATATCGTATATTGATTAGATAAAATAGTATTTTGAAAATATATTATAAAATGAATCTATTAAATCATTTTCATATGAATATATACATCATTTTAATTTTGACCAGAAAAAATCAAAAGTGAACAAATACTCGAGGTTTGAGCGAATATATGTCTACCAAAAACTAATCAATAAAGATTTTGATACACACATACACATATAGCTTGGTGATCCCATTTATTCCTCAAGTCCATGAAACCATATTACAAACACATATCATAATAATAGACACATTGGAAGAACTTTCAAAATTCTTTTCCCACCCAAAGAAAGACACTGTCATGTCTTCTGTACAAGCATTCTCAATTAAAAGATCTAATACTTAAGCTGATTTTAAAGTGTTGCCGATATCGAGCACAAGCCTATACTTCACATCAGCTCTCTCAAGACGCTCTAAGGCCGTGTTGACATAGTCCATTGCAAAAATCTCGACGTCTGGAGTTATGCCGTGCTTCGCGGAGAAGTCTAGCATTTCTTGCGTCTCCTTTATTCCACCAATGCCACTCCCAGCAACAAGCTTCCTACCTGGCATCCATCAATCACACACACACACACTTGAGATATGATTAATGGGTGCAGCTCTAATACAATTTGTCAAGGAACCAACTTAACCAAAAACTCAAGCATGTGGTTCTAGGCGTAGGAAACTGCACAGGTTGAGCTAGCTTACCCCTCAGCAAAGAAAACACGGGAAGGTCAAGCGGTTTTTCTGGGATGCCAACCAATACATGCTTCCCGTCGGTTTTCAATAGAGTGAGTAGTGGCTGAATAGAGTGAACCGCAGAAACGGTGTCTATTATTCCATCCAGTGTGTCCATTGCATCCTATACTACAAGGAATATTTCAAGAACAACGAATAGTATGACTCATCAAAAGTTGAATGATTATATGGACATACATCATGCCCACATTCATTCGGTTTTCGTTTAAATGATGAACGTTAATTAATAAATAACCTCCATTTGTTGAGGGTCACGGCTGATCAAGAACAAATCAGCACCAAGATGATCAATGGCCTCCTGCAGAGGTGCTCATGACAGTCACCTTGGACCCGAAAGCCTTAGTGTACTTGACAGCCATATGGCCAAGACCACCCAGGCCCACAACTCCGATGTTCATTCCTGGCTTGTCCAGCCCAAAGTGTTTCAAGGGGCTATAAGTTGTGATCCCGGCGCACAGGAGGGGGGCTGCCTCCATCGACAAAGTTTCGGGCCACTTGATAATGAAGTGCTCGTCGGCGACTATGATGTAGGAGTAACCACCGTACGTGGTGGATCTTAAATCATTGTAAGTCTGTACACTCCTGGGACAGTAGTTTTCCCAATCGCGGGAACAGTTTTTGAAATCGCGACAGGATCCGACCAGACATCCAACGCCAACTTTGTCTCCGATCTGGAATCTCTCCACCTTGGTCCCGACCTCAGTCACAACCCCAACAATTTCGTGCCTGCAGAATCTTCGAGGAAAGCACAAACACTACGGCTAATCATGGATCTGTGGTTAGAAAGAGAGAAGGGATCCGAAAGAGAAAATGGATCCCGGGAACAATGGGGTATTTAGTGATGCCCCATTCTTTCTTACACGTGTGAAGATTAGAGTGACAAATTCCGCAGTACAAAACCTTGAATTGAACATCTTTTTCCCCAGTTCCCCTGCACCCAAACCGATGACCTATATAATACATCAACACTCCTCAAGCTAAATACTCCCTCCGTCCCAAAAAGATTTACACGTTTCAAAAAATTGAGTATCACAATCTCTTACCCATTTTTATTAAAAAACCACTTTTGCTCCTTACTTTTTTAAACCCTACATATCACATCATACCTTTTTCCTAATAATCTGCCCACCACATCCTACTTTTACACATCACATCAAGAGTATTTTTAGAAAGTCAACACAAAATTATCCCTCCCTTAATTTTAACTTTAGTCAAAACGTATAAATCTTTTTGGGACGGAGGTAGTAATAAACTCTGCGCGATTTTATGGGTGAAAGGGGATGCAGAAAATTAAATATGGGAATACCTTCTGGAGAAATTGAAAGGAGAGAGAACTCCGTAGGTGTCCCTCGCCGCCCATCCAAAAGCCTTCACGGGGAGCTCTTTCGGATGCGAATCGACTACCATGTGTGTGTGTGTGTGTGCGCGCGTGTGCGCGTACTCCGGAGCGAGTATGAGCACTGAGTAGAGAGCGTAGATGATGGAATTGGTTGGTTAACGGTCCGAGGCAGATAATGGTTCGTTTATATAGAGAAGGGAATTGGGGGAGTGATGTAAGCGCTGACATACAAAATCCACTACAAGTCTACAACACTAGCCTTCTCGTTCGGACCCCGGGGGCGTGAGGGGCACCGCCCCCCGGCGGCATTACCCCAGCGTCATCGCCTGTGCGTCATTCGTTTGACGCGGCTCAACNCCCCCCCCCCCCCCCCAATTAAAAAAAATCAAAATTTAAAAAAAAAACTTATAAATTCCCCTAAAAAAATCATTCTCTCACACATCTCTCTAACGCATCTCTCTCACACATCTCTCTTTATATTCTCTCTAAAATATTTATTATCTATTATAAATATTTATAAAATATATTTTTAAAATGGGTTCATCTTCCGACGATGAAAAAAGAGCTTTCTTTTTTCGTTGTTTTGCGACGAATTGTATTCAATGGTGGGAAGATGGCCAAGAAGAAGCTGAATCCCGATGGCGGACCCGACGACAATGTTTAAACCGGGATCGAGCGGCCGCCCACGCTTCACTTCTAAACGACTACTTTAATAATCTATGTGTTTATACACCAGAGGATTTTAGTAATCGTTTTCGGATGAGTCGACCTCTCTTTTTACGCATACTCGCCGATGTTGAACGCGAGGTTCCTTGGTTCACCCAACGGTTTGATGCGAGAGGACGACGCGGGTTTAATAGCGTCAAGAAGTGCACTGCCGCGCTCCGTCAGTTGGCGTACGGGACGACATCTGATATGTTCGATGAATAGTTGAAGATGTCGGCTCGGAGCATCAAGTCTTGTGTTTATAAATTTTCAAAAGCTATTATTCAAATTTATCATAAAAGATATTTACACAAGCCTACAGCGAGCGACATCCAGCAGTTGCAGGCAAGGCATGCCGCTAAACACGGCTTTGTCAGCATGCTTGGGAGTATTGATTGCACGCATTGGGAATGGAAAAATTATCCCACTGCGTGGCACGGTCAATTCTCCCGGGGAGATCATCCCAAGCCTACCATCATGCTCGAAGCTGTTGCTTCGAATGACTTGTGGATTTGGCATGCTTTTTCGGTGTCGCGAGCTCGAACAACGACATCAACGTTCTCGATCAATCGCCTGTTTTTTACGATTGGGTTAATGAGACCGCACCGGACTCCTCTTTTGAGCTTAGAGGGACGCTTTACAAGCGTGGACATTATTTGGCCGATGGAATATATCCAGATTATTCCACGATTGTCAAATCCCTCTCCGAACCAATGGGTCTTAAACGCCAGACCTACAAAAAAGCTCAAGAGGTGGCGAGAAAAGATATTGAACGAGCCTTTGGGGTCTTGAAGAGTAAATGGCACATTCTAGATCATCCGTCGAAATGTTATTCTCAAACAAAAATGAGGAATATCATGTACGCATGTATTATTCTTCATAATATGATCATAGAGGATAACGAGATTTGTCAATACAACCCGGACGAGGATATGACTATGTACGAAGAAATTACCGAAGAAAAGAAACGACGCAACCGCCAAGAAATTCGAAGCCCAGATATTCACAATGCACTAACGACGGATTTGATCGAACATATCTTTAGTCGTTCGAATAATTATTGATTTCTTTGTACTGTTGTTTTTTTATGTAATATTTTTTTAATGAATGTAATTTTTTTTATGAATTTTTTATGAATGTAAGATTTTTTTTAATGAATGTAAATTTTTTAATGCACTAGTCTCATTGCGATTAATTTAAATAATAAATTAATTTAAATTTATAATTTAAACTTAGAAAATATATATTTAAAAATGTAAAAAAAAATGAAGGTTTAAAGCCCCAGTTTGAAACCCCGGGGCTTCAAAACCATTTCCAGTGAATTTTTGGTGTAAGTTAAAGCTGACGTGGCAGAAAGAGAAAGTTTGAAGCCCCGGTTTGAAGCCTCGGGGCTTCATACGTATTTCCAGTGTTCTAAGTATGGAAAGAAGGTTTACTTAAAATTGTTAATTAAGCATTAATTAATATTATAATTAAGTCTTTTTTCCCGTGAGTGTTACGCTGTTGGCAAGCCAAAGTGTGTCAAGGGAGTAAGACTCGAGTTCGATTCCTGTCAACTGCGTTGAGAGGCAACTATGCTAAGCATAGGGCCTCTGTAATTACCAAGTGCAGGCTCCGCTCTTTGCCACAAATCTATGATTAAAGTCTAATTTACCTCCTCTCAATCACCGTCCAGTTGGGTCTGAGGGGACCGTCGGGAATGGGGCTCATCCTTTTTTTCAAAACAAAGATGCTCCTTTGCAATATAATCTCTCCCACTTCCAAGTTTTGCACTACAGTGATTTCACAGAGTGCAATGCAGAAATAATGCCATAGAAAGGATGACCTAAGCAATAGGTGCAGCAAACTGTAATATGTTACATGCACATCAAGCATGTGACTAATTAGAAGATGTTGTCAAAAGTTAAAAGAAGTTTGTCTTCTAAAAAGGAGGTATCACTGGAATAAACTCCTAACATACATAAACCTGGTAAAAAGCACAACTTGTCAAAAATTCCAAAGCAAAAAAGATGAATTCATACACATATTTGCCTCCCGCAGTCCCGCATAATGTCATTAAAAAATAAATCCATATTAAATCCAGATTATATAAATAGGAAACTTACCACTTTTTTGTTTCTTTGTTTCCTTAATATCAAAAAAGTTAGGAGGAAGGGAAGATGTTTGTCGAGCTTTAGACAGCCCCATAGAAGGTTCGGTTCCTTTACTATGTAAACCTTCAAGATTCTCAAGCTTAGCCCTATGTGAGTCTTTAGGACGCTCAACATTCGCATTGATAGTTTGCTTAAGTGTGGCAGAATTTGCTTTAAGATTATCGATTGCCTGCACATGCATAAGTGTGTTAAACAAAAATGCAAAGAAAGAGAGAGAAAACATACAAGAAAAAAATTTGCTATCAATAGAAGATATCAACAATAATTCAATCCTTTAAACCAATGTGAACAAAAAGCAGAAATCCAGACAAATATTTTATATGGTATTAATGGTTTGCTATTTTCAGTATTTTGTAGAGTGTAGACCCTTTAACAGAAAAAAAAATAAAAATAAAATGTTTTTTAGTGCTGTATCAAAGGCCAACATTATAATGAAAATTTAAAAAAATTGCATTTTGAAGAATCTATAAGAGACAGTGACACTTATTTCTAATGGGCAATGAATAATCCTTCAACAGTTTTAGTTGAATATTACGCATCTCTTAAAAAGTTTTAAAAATTGAATCTAACAACAAAAACACCCAATATAATCCCGCAAAAGTAGGGCTTGGGTAGGATGTGTGTAGGCAAACCTTACCCCTACTTGGAAGTAGAGAGCCTGTTCCCAAGAGACCCCAGCTCGAGCAACACAAAAAGAACATAGCACGAAAAAGACGCACAAAGCAAACTAAGGATAAAAGACCAAAGCATACAAAACACACAACGGCAAGAGCAAAAACTACTGCCCAGACCCAAGCGACCAACTAACCTAATCCTAGATCTCTAGATGCTCCTATCTAAGGTCATATCCTTGGTAATGACCAAAAATTGAATTCAAGCTTAAAACAATAGTGAAACCTTATAAAATCTATAAAAGAATTCCCTTCAAGCCTATCTTATCTTTCATTCTTACCTTTTATATCCGTTCAAAATTATGTCTTGTTTCCTTTCAAAGAAAAAAATTTGGAGCTGGAATTCAGGAATTGTTTCATGTGGGTGCATCTCAATCACGAGCTTTCACTTTCATTTTTAAAAGTAAGAAGTTAAAAGAGTTAAATAAGGTACAGATGGAGTGTTCCATAGAACACCCCCCTCCCCCCGGTGCATCAACTTGATTGTCTAGCTTGGAGCCAGGAAGACCCACGGCTAGCTCCTTAAATAGCGCACTACAACCTATTGGAATGGAATTTGCTTATTCAACTGCAACATAACTATTTACTAATGCAGCATACTGATGTTATCCTATTGATCATCATACATCTCCATAATCAAACAAAAAGTTGGCATGTTTGTCAATAATTAGAGACCAACATTTTATGCTTCATATGAATACTGTAAAAAAAACCTACCATTTTATGTTTGCGACAAGTTTGGTGAACAGTCCAGTCTGTCTCAGATTTTAGAACAACATCACAAACTCTACAGACAGGTTGATCATGGTCATTGTACCTGTATTGGAAGGAGTGTGCTTTTAAAATATAAAGAGAAAATCAAAAGCTTCTATCTACATTAAGTGCTATGTTTTAGAAATATGAGATGTTCATCTAAACTAACGGAAAGTATATGGTTAATGCTGAACAACACAGTGAAGAAGATACACAAGAAAAAGAGAACTTAGCATTGCAGTCAAAAGCGGTATAGGTAGGTTACAGAAGTTCATGGGTAACAGATGAAAATCACAGAAAATATATTATGATACTTCCAAGCTCTTTTTTATCATGCCCACTTCTACATGTTCAGATCTATCCACTTAGTTAAACTAGCATATAAACAAACTGCCCCATAGCTTGTCACTTTAGCAAATGCATTTTTCTGACAGTTTATAGCAATGCCCTACAAGTGCAAAAGTATAATAGGGCAAATCACCTCTAAAACAAATTGGCAGTATAATCAAGAAAGTATAATATGGCAGATCACCTTTAAAAAACAACAAATAAAAGCCATCAAAAGTTACGGATGCTTAGAGTCGCACACTCGCAGGTTGCAAATTCCTCTACGGCTCTACCGCAGGTCCTCTCTATCGAAAATCTCCTATGGCGAGTTGCAAACCTCCTCTGTCCCAAGCGCAACCAGCAACAACGAAGAAGAAATACCGATGACGATTGACGACCCTGAAACTTCTAGGCATGTTGATTGGGAAGACTGAGCGACTGGAGAGGACTAATTAAAGTTTTTTTTGTATTGGGCCTATTTTATTCAATTTGGGTCAACACCGAAATCGAATTTGAATTATGGGATTTCAAATTATAGAACTGAAATTCAAAAATTGAAATGAATTCCCATATCCAAACACTACCTGAACGAATTTTTTGGACTTTTGGTCCCTCCACATACAAATACTTAGAAACCCACATTACTCTCATTGAGACTACACGAACTCTATAAAGAACAAATACATCCAATAAAACTAAATTGGGCACTAAAATTCGCACATCACGCGAAATATCGCTAGGTGTTTAAAGAAAAGAGAAGGCAATGCACCACGAAGAAGTCAATTGGGATGGATGAAGTACTACGCATTGCCTCTCTACTTTCAAGTAGGGGTACGGTCTGCGTACACACCCTCCCGATACCTTACTTCTATGAAATTCTACTGGGTTGTTTTGTTGGTCCATCTATAGAATTTCCAATGTTAGTTTACCAAATGCACAAGCACTGCCTGTGAATCATTCCTCATAACCCATGTTGTTTAGCTACACTAATCACTCTAATCATAAAGTTGGCTTTTTGTCTTCTACTCTTCTGTAGTTTTGTAGTTCAGTGGCTTAAGAAAAAAATTCGTTAATTACCTTACAAGAGGATTCTCAATACGCTTTTGGTTCCGCTGGGCTAGTTTGGCCCGGAAGAGTGCTTTCTTATCCGCCATTGCTAAAGTACTTGAAATGCTGCAACTTAACCCTGAAAATCTGAAATCAAAGGCTATGAAATACTGCACCTTCAAAGAACAGGGGCAAAGACAGGATGGGGTCTGAGGCAACCCCACGAATTTTTTCAAATACAATGTCAGATGGAAAAAACAATAATTAATTTTTTAATCTCAAAACTTCTCCATTTGACTAAAAAACAATAAGCCATTAAACTAATTTGGTACTTTATGTTTTTAACCAAAAGTGGAGAAATTTAATACACCGAGTACATCATAACTTAGTTTAGTTATCAAATTTACAATGTTAGACTTTTGAGTTCTTTTTTCGGTTTAAGATTATATTTTTAATAAAAAAATTCCACATTAAACAATTTTATTCAACAATTAACATATTTATCAATTTGGGCAAAAATATACTACTTCGTATGAAACTAATAATTTCACAAAAACTATTGAGAAATTCATAAACACTCACCATAAGAACTATATGTCGATTAATTAAATAAAAGAACAAAAAAAACTACCGGGAGTTCGAGTTTGAGATAAACAGCTGCTGAACTGGACGCCAATCGCGAACGGACTGGCCGAACAGTACACTGCTCGAATACACGAAGTAGGCAGAATCTGATACAAGAAAAGAGATTGCAGGTGCTGAGCTGAATAGTTAGTTACGGATGAGTTGGAATCCTAACCAATTCTGTTGAAGATTCTGTTTCAATTCTTCTTCTCTTAATGTTGTATATAAACCCCTGCATCTTGTAATAGCTGGCCATGAATGAATAAACACAAATCTCCTTCTTCTCTCTCTATATTCTCTGGTTATTCTCTCGGATTTATTCCCTGGAATATCAATTGATTCTTCGAAGTTTATGCTTCCTGGAATCTGCATTTTTTGTGCATCATAGTGGTATCAAAGCTGATCGGTCCTTGGATCTTGAAAATGACGAGAAATCGGAATTCAGAGGTGGTTAATGAAGAAGCAGAAGATAAATTTGCAGCAATCCAAACTCAATTGCAGAAATTGATGGAAGGAATGACCATTATCAATGATCGCATCTCTAAAACGGATCAAGAGTTGGGCAAATTGAAGGAAATCCTGAGGACTATGGAACCGAGGGATAAGGACAGGGAGGAAGAGTCTTCACACGGAAACAAGCGATCTGAAGGTTCTTACCATCCTACATCTTCTGGTAACACTTACTCGCTTTTTCAGACTTGATTTCCCCAAATTTTCCGGTTCCGATCTGAGAACTTGGTTGTACAAAGTGGAGCAAATCTTTGCAATGGATGAAATTCCGTCTGAACAGAAAGTTAAAACTGCCTCCATCCATTTGGAAGGGAAGCCATTGCTTGGCATAGATCTTACATAAGGAATGTTAATATGGCTAATCAGAGTTGCACAGAATATGTTCTAGCTCTTAATGAAAGATTTGGTAAAGCCTTTGAAGATCCTATGGAGGAACTTAAGAACCTGACCCAAACAGGTAGTGTTAGGGAATATCAGGCTGCTTTTGATAAACTCATGACTATTGTGAATTTGACAAATGGAATGCAACTAGTTGTTTTATTGGAGGCCTGAAAACTGAGTTAAATAAGGCAGTAAGGATGCATTCCTCGAAGACACTTATGCAGGCTTATAAGATTGCAAAGTTACAGGAGGAAGTATTCTGTGCACAAGCAAGATCATGGAGTCTTAAAAATGGTATGAGGAACCAGGGGGTATTCTACCTACTCCAGGCCAACCAAAACCAGCAGTAAACCAAAAGCCAATTCTCAATACATATACAAAGAATCAGACAGCAAATCCAGCAGGTCGGAGACTAACAACAGCAGAAATGGATGAAAAAAGGGCCAAAGGGTTGTGTTTCTTTTGTGATGAAAAATATGTATTGGGTCACAAATGTGCACACAAGAAGCAAATATTTCTGGTTGAGGTGGTAGAGGAAGTTTCAGAATTGAATGAAACCTCAGATCTAAAAGATGATGAATCCATTGAATTGGAAGAGTTGATGACCATATCTCTGCAAGCATTGATGGGTGTCACTGGGTATCAAACCATTAGAGTCACAGGGTATCATAAGAAGCAACCCTTGCAGATTCTAATTGACACTGGAAGCACACACAATTTTATGGATCAAGAAATGGCCAAGCAACTTGATTGTCAAACAAGTGAAATTTTGGAGCAGTCCATTAGTGTAGCTGACGGGAGGAAGGTTCAGACAGCTACTGTTTGCAAAGATGTACAGTGGTTGTTACAAGGCACTGCCTTTGTATCTGATTTTTTGCTACTACCACTTGGTAATGTGGATATTGTCTTGGGAGTTCAGTGGTTAAACACTCTGGATAAGATTCTATTTGATTTCAAAAATAGAATTATTGAATTCAAGTTTGAAGGAATGAAGCATGTGTTGAGAGGGGCCAACAGCCAACTAAAAACAACCAGGGTTAAGACAATGGAGAAGGACTGCGGTAACAAGGCTCAGTTTTTTATGATGACTTTGACTACTAAAGAGAAGGAAGACATTTCTTGCCATCTCATACAAACTGAGCAGTGTGATCAAATTCATCCTCAACTTGCTCAATTAATAGAGCAATTTGGAATTCTTTTTGAAGTACCTGAAGCACTGCCCCCTAATAGAGGAGCATTTGATCATAAGATTCCTTTAAAGGAGGGTTCCAATCCCATAAGTAAGAAGCCTTATAGATATCCAGGAGTCAGGAAGGATATCATTGAGAAGCTGGTGCAAGAAATGTTGGATCAGGGGGTAATTCAGCACAATACCAGTCCATATGCATCTCCTGTGGTGCTTGTGGGAAAGAAGGATGGTAGTTGGAGATTATGTGTTGATTACAGGGAGTTAAATCAACAAACAATCAAGGATAAATTCCCCATTCCAATCATTGAAGATCTATTAGATGAGCTAGGGGGGTCTATCTTGATCTCTAAAATAGACCTAAGAGCTGGATATCATCAACTGAGGATGCATGAAAAGGATGTATACAAAACCGCCTTTAAGACTCATGAAGGACACTATGAGTTTTTGGTTATGCCCTTTGGGCTAACAAATGCTCCTTCATCCTTCCAAGCTCTCATGAATTCTGTGTTCAGACATATGTTGAGGAAGTTTGTGTTGGTATTTTTTGATGATATCTTGATTTACAACTGAAGTGTAGAAGAGCATGTACAACATGTCAAAGCAGTCTTCGAAGTAATGAAGAATTCACAACTGTATGCTAAAAGGTCTAAGTGTGCATTTGGGATGCCAAAGGTGGAATATTTAGGGCATTATATCAGTTCTGATGGGGTATCTATTGACCCAAAGAAGTTACATGCAGTCCAACAATGGCCCACCCCCACTAATATAAAACAACTAAGAGGATTCTTGGGTCTAGCTGGATACTACAGAAGATTCATTAAGGGATTTGGTAATATATGCAAACCCCTTCATGAGTTACTGAAGAAGGATGCATTTCGTTGGGGAGAGGCAGCAACTACTGCTTTCGTTCAAATGAAACAAGCATTGGTATCCCCTCCAGTATTAGCCATGCCAGATTTTACCAAGCCATTTGTAATTGAAACGGATGCTAGTGGCAAGGGAATTGGTGCAGTATTAATGCAAGAAGGGCATCCCATTGCTTATATCAGCAGGTCATTAGCACCTAAACATCAAGCCATGTCGGTATACGATAGGGAACTAATGGCTTTGATCTTTGCTGTAACCAAATGGTCTCATTATCTCCTTGGGAAACAATTCATTGTCAGGACAGATCAAAAAGCGTTGAAGTATTTGTTGGAGCAGAATATTCATACAGATTTCCAGATAGCAGGAATTACCAAGCTAATGGCGTGTCACTTTGTTATTGAATACAAAAAGGGAACTGACAACAAAACAGCAGATGCTCTTTCCAGAAACCCCAATGCAGAACTTTTAGCTGTATCTGTTCTAATGCATGATACCATTCTACTCTCACAGATTAAGGACTCTTGGAGGAGTGATACTACTCTGCAGGAAATCATTACCAAGTTACAGGAGCAACCTTATAAGTCCTTTACTTGGATTAATGAACAATTGAGATGGAAGGGCAGACTCGTGGTGGGTAATGATTCCAAACTAAGGAATACTATCATATCTACATGGCATAATACTACCCAAGGCGGCCATTCTGGTATGGATGCCACTATCAAAAGATTGCAAGCCTTATTCTATTGGAAATCCCTCACTCAGGATGTTAAAACTTATATCAACAAATGTGATGTGTGCCAGAGGCATAAATATGAAGCCACTGCAACTCCCGGACTACTACAACCTTTACCTATTCCTAGAGGAGTTTGGACTGACATTTGCATGGACTTCATTGAAGGTCTACCTAAGGTCCAAGGGAAGGATGTCATTTTGGTGGTAGTTGACAGACTCAGCAAGTATGGACACTTTATTTGCCTACAACACCCATACACTGCTCAGGTAGTAGCACAAAAATTCTTGGATAACGTCTTCAAACTACATGGTATGCCAGCGTCAATCACGAGTGACAGGGACCCCATATTTCTCAGTGACTTTTGGCAAGAGTTATTCTCACAAATGGGAGTTCAGCTGCAAAGATCCACTGCATATCACCCACAAATTGGTGGGCAGACAAAAGTCCTGAATAGAACTTTGGAGACATACCTTAGATGTTTTTGTTCTGATAGTCCTTTTACGTGGGTGTCCTACTTACCTTTAGCAGAATGGTGGTACAATACCACTTACCATACCGCCATCCGATGTACACCTTATGAGGTTTTGTATGGACAAAAACCACCTATTCACCTTCCTTACTTACCAGGAGAATCAAATTCTGAAGTGGTAGACAGATCTCTTCAAGCTAGAGAAGCTACTATCCAACTCCTAAGGTATCACATTCAAAGGGAACACAAAAAGATGAAGGATCTGGCGGATAAACATAGAACAGACAGAGAAATTGAAGTAGGAGACTGGGTTTATCTCAAACTTCAACCCTACAGGCAGTTTTCAGTAGCTACAAGACATTTCAATAAACTGG